ATTTTGGAGAAATACTTACATTTATCCTCTGGAACATGAGACACTATTTCAGCAAAGAAGTCGCCAGAGAAGAAGTGGCTGTGTTTGAGCTCACCGAGTAAAACTCTGACCTGAACGGACCAAGCCTCATTGAATAGTCTGGAACCCCAATCAGGCCAGAGGTGAAAATCAAACGAACGTAATGTCCAAGACCCCCGCCCGTGAACAACAGCCAAAATTATTTGCCAAAATTGAATGACATGGAGAGGTAAACAAAAATGCCCCCTAATGCACTGGCGCGCAGCTCTACTCAGACTACTTTAGTCACCCACAGCAAATCAGACATAGCCAGAGTGACCGACGATCGATAGATTTCAGTGACAGATTGGTATCGAATGGCATGCAGGAGCCCAATTGGTCCCAGCCGAGATGGAAAAATAAACCAAAAGAGAGATACAGAAGCCTGTGATGAAAAATCCCATGAGGCAGACGAGGTGGGCATTGAGACAAAACAATGGTAATCCCCTGTAATTACGAAGAGGGGTCAATTGACGTTTTTGTTGAAGTTACATTTACCTCATTGAGCCGGGAACTTACTTTATGCAAAGCAGTATTTAAAATCTGTTTTTATCACATACATTCATGTCGCCAGAATAAAGGGTCAGCAGTTTCGGAAGTTTTCGATTCATCTAATTAGAGCGACTTGCAACACACCGAATAAACGCATTACCGTTTCACCTGAGCGATCATTATTTTAAAAATAACTAAACATTATGACAGATCGCTCCTGGTTTTGGTTCTCAGATCGATTTGTTTCTCTGACATGACACAAATCAACTACCAAGTAGGGTTTTATGTCTTACCTGCAGATTTCGTCGTGGCTACGACGGGGCTTGACAGCGGTCCAGCTCCTTTGGAGTTCAGCGCCCTAAGCCTCAGAGCGTATCGCGTGAACGGCACCAGGTCATTCAGCTCGATTCTGTTGGTCGACGAATGGCCTTTCATCTCGTCCCTCACCCAGGGGTCGAGCGAATTTACCACGTACTCGTATAGATTGATCTGCCCGTTCTTGTGCTCGCAACTCGGCTCGTCCCACACGAACGTCGCTGACGTCTTGTCCGTGCTGTGCACTCTGATGTTCTGCGGTGAACCGGTCGGAACTAAATGCGGAGGGATTTACACATGCACGTTTTTGAAAATGAAACTTTACGAACAGGCTTACCTGCTTCGCTAGTGGTCACATAGATCGGAATGCTCTCGGCACCGTCCGTCGTCGTTTTCGCCCGAACGACGATCTCGTAGGTCGACGCCGGCTCTAAGCCTTCTAAAAGCACGCTTTCGCCTACGACGAACTGCTCACGCTGTTTCTGCGTCTGCGACGGGCAGAAATCCTTTGCCTTCAATCGGTAGGACACGGTATAACCGGTGATGGCGCCGTTGGGGTCAGACGGTTGCCTCCAGGTCACCTTTATCTGGTCAGAACCATACGCCTCACCGGTCACGTTCCGGACTTCGCTGGGCGCCGACTCAGGCGTCACAATCGATACCGCCTCACTCCAGTCTGAACTTCCGGCTGAATTCACCGACTTCACTTGAACGGACCATTTGCAGTACGGAGGCGAGGTAACCGTGTGCTCGTTCGACGGACTCATAACCTCTACGTCGTTTACGTCCACGCTTTTGCAATTGCGGTACCTCAGCACATAAGACAAGGATGAACAGAGCCAAGAACTTGATGGAGGTGGTTGCCAGGTGACTCGAATTTGCGTAGGGGACAAGGCATTGATTCCTATGTTCGACGGCGGAATTGTTGGAGCTGAAAAAAAGGTACTACCATTAGATTTCTTCCAATTCACAACAGAAGAGACAAAGGCTTGCCATGGAGGCAATATTAAAACCTGTGGCTGACATACCTCTTCATGTCGTCATAGTCATTTTGCTTAGAAGAGCTCTCTGACAAGAAACCTGAACGAAAGACTTAACTGTGTTCGTTGGCAACAGCTTTCAACGAAAGCACGGTGAGATGTTATCATCGTGCTGCCACTGGCCGTGAACGACAAAAAATATCGTTAAGGTACTTGATAACAACATAATGGCATAAAGAGTGAAACAACATGAGGTTTCGTCGTCTAGAAGGAGAAGAGATGAAAACACTGTTCTAATGCTTTTTGGATTATATAGCTAACTGCCTTCGCCACATGTATGGATGTCATTCGAGCCAACACACCACAGCATTGGGCGTCCGTATGCGCTCAAATACTATGAATCTTCATGTGTCTAAGTAGACCCTCTGTGTCGAAAGCAGTAAGGCAGATCCGTGACGTTGCAGATAAGCGGAATAATGAATGGTATGAGCATTGCTAGAGGAATTTGTTTAAATGAAATACAGTTAATTTGATGCATAAAATGGTTATTCTGTCTTAACCTGTAAATTGATGACTTCATTCCTCTGCAGCGAGAGTTAGATTTTGCCACTTTTCATCAGTCAACCCGTAAACCGTGAGAGTTAAACTATCAGGAAAATTTTTGGTCAAGTCTAAAGGAAAAACTCTGAG